TATGTGGGGGCGTGTTAGAACGAGCCGTTTTAGGTAGGTGTGGCTGACTCTTAACTTTTATAAAGAATATCTCTTTGGATTTGAGACTTTAGTCTTTGCATCTTTACAGATCTTCTTTATGCACCAAGAGCTTGTGACACTCCAAAGAGAAAGGAAAAAATGAAATTGCATCATATGACCCCTTTAATATAAATGTCCAGAGCTCCAAACCACCCTGTTGTTTGCTGTTTAGTGGCCAGTGGAAACAGATACAGGCAGTAGATTTGATCTTGTGTGTGCAAACAAGCATGACATAAGATACATTGCAAAAAAATTATTTTCTTACTTAGTATTTTTGTCTTGTTTTCCAGTACAAATATCTAAAAATTCTTACATCTAGATACATTTAAGAAAATGATTTAAGATATCAAGTCTTGATTTCTGGAAAATGTTTCAAAATTAAGTTAGGCTTAAAACATGAATATAATATCTGTCTATGGGGAAAATATAGGGAAAAAATAATCTTGTTTTCGTTTTTGAATTAAGTTTATGTTTCTTTCCCCATTGACATATTTTTTTCTTGTTTTAGGCATAAACTCAATTAATTTTGATAATTTTTCAGAAAACAGGACTTAAAGGGGTCATATGATGCTGCTAAAAAGAACATTATTTTGTGTATTTGGTGTAATGAAATGTGTTTATGCTGTTTAAAGTAAAAAAAACACATTATTTTCCACATACTGTACATTATTGTTTCTCCTCTATGCCCTTTAGTGTTTGCAACTTTACAGATCTTCTTTATGCACCAAGAGCTTGTAACACTCCAAAGAGAAAGGAAAAATTTAAATCGCATCATATGACCCCTTTAATATCTTTAAGTGTTGTGCTTTTCAAGTAAATGCATTTTGATTTTTATATATCTGTCCTGAGGCCCGTTTCAGAAAGGAGGTTTAGTGAAAACTCTGTGTGTTAACCCTGAAATGAGGGGAACTCTGGGTTTTCAGTTTCAGAATGGAAGGTTTGTCAAACCCGAGAAAGCAGAGTAAGTCAAGCCCGTTTCTGAAAGAGAGGTAACTTATACTCAGAGTCAGTTACCGTGGTAACTTACTCTATGACCCTAACCTGGTCGGGAGCAGGTTTTCTTCGGTAAACCCAGAGTTTCTTTCGGTCTCTTCCCCTTTTTAAAGCGCAAGCGATGGACACAAGGTTAAATACGACGCGTATGAATAACGGCTTCAGTGATGTAGGCAGTAACGTGTTGGGTGCGGAGAACTAGCTTGTGACGCGATTGATCAGGTTCGAGTCTGGCTTTTGCCGAGCTCGCTCTTCTCACTTTTCCCATCACATATCACATTAGAATTTATTTTCAATAAAAATGAAGAAAATTTTCTAAAAGTGGAAGTAAAGTGCCTAACGAGTGTTTAATACTGATAAAAGTATTTATAATTTTAATAAATATAATCATTT